TTGGTTTTGTTTGGGATTTGGGGGCTTTTTTATTTTCCAAAGGTGTACCTAATGCATGCACCATTCATTGAAAGACCATGCTTTTCATACAGCTCCGCTGTTGTAAATTAAGTATGTGAGTCTACGTATGGCCTATTCCGTAGCTGTCGTTGTGTGTTAACCTAATATAAATTTAACATATTAGACAGTAAATCTCTCCACCTCTACCATGTTAAACTTTACTGAGTTGTTTATGGCTCTTTGCGTTTTCATACAAATTTTAGAACCAGGCTATTAGGTAACACCAAAAATAAAAGAAATCTTGTTAGGCTTTTTTTGAGTATTGAAATTATAGTTAGGGAGAAATTAACATCATTAACATACTAAATTCTATTTATAAAAATTACATATCCTGGGCCCTCCCTGGTGGCGCAGTGGGTTAAAGCATAGCACTGAAAAGTTAAAGCCACTTCTGCATGAGTTCGAATCCCGCCTGCCCCGGAGGTGACCACATGGCGTGGCAGACCTCTCCTGGCCCGCCCACTGCTCCCCTCAGCAGTCTTCTTCGTAGATCTGCCTGTTCTGTACCCCACTCTGTCTCTGGTGAATCCTCTCACCCTCCGCATCTCTGGCCTGTACCCCAGTTCTGTACAAATAAATCTTTAAAAAAAAAAGTTACATACCCTATTTATATAGATCTAAGTCGTCTTTATTTTTCATTTTATATTTTAAATAGGTTTGTACATTTTCGTAAGTTTTATTACAAGTCATATTATTTTTTAATCCTGTCATAATATTTGCCAGTTGTTAGAAATGCAAACTTTTGCATATTCCCATTTTGTCAAATGGGAGACATTTACCCAATTTTTGAGTTTTTATGAGTTTTAGCAAATGCTTTTAAGATGATTCCAATTTTTTATTCTTTTAATGTAGTGAGTTGTAAAAGCCTATTCAGGGTCAAAAAAAATTTGTATTCCTGGAATGATGATCCATGTTTGACAGAATTTGCCAGTGAAACCATTTAGATCTAGATTTTTCTATGTGCAAAGGTTTTTAATTACAGATTATTAACTTTACAGTCAGGATTATTTGTTTAGTTTTTTAAAGTTCTACTTAAATTTTAAATTAAATGTCAATTTTGGTATGCCAGTTGTATTTTCCAAGAAATTTCTATTTCATCAAAATTTTCAGATAGGTGACCATAAATCATAGTATCACTTTAATATTTTAAGTCTGCAGATTCTATAGTGATATGTCCTTTTCATTCCTTAAGTTGGCTTTTTTCTCCGTGCAATCCTATGTGATTCTGATTGCTCTGCTACCTTGCTGCCTCATTTTCCTCTGCGACTTTTATCAAAAACAGTTTTTCCTTTCATTTTTTTATTATTTCATTTATTTCTGCGGATTTTCTTCTAATTCCTTTGAGTGGACATATTCTTTTTAACTTTATGTATTGATTTCTCGTCCCTTTAATTTATATATTTGCTAAAAACAGTTTAAATTCTAGTGTCACAAGTTTGGACATGAACTAAGTGTTCAGCTTATATTTTAATTTCTGTTGTACTCTTCTTGAGCCATGAGTTAATTAGATGTACCTACTTTGATTCTGAGATGTGGTTTTCTGGTTTTCCTTAATAGCTTCCATAGGCAGATAGTTTGATTTTAAACTGAAGATGGTTGAAATTTGCACATTGCCCAACATGTGTGTTATATGTATGCGTGTGTGTACATACTCATAATCTCACAGAAGAGTTTTGAGAGCTTATTTGCTAAGAATGATGCCTTAAACTCACACTTTTACAGACTTTCCTATTCTTTTGAACTGTCAGTTTTTATGTTCTGAAACACATTTTACGTATATATATATTGAGCCTTCAGTTTGGGGACATGTTACTTTATTTTCTGTAATGCTTTTTCTTAGTGTTACACGATATTCTTACGTTTAGATGGTTTATCTCTTTATCTTTTTAAAATGTAGTCTACATTTGTTTTATTGATCTTGTAACTGTAAAGCCTCTTGGTTTTCTTAGTTCTAAGTCATCTCTAAATACTACTGCCTTGTTCAGTCTCCTTTTGCCTCTTCATTATATATTGTACTGATTCACATAACTCATGAGTTACAGGTAATGTGATGTTACACCCAACCATTGTGTTCATTTTACTATTTTCAGTTCTAGAGTTTATTCTCCTCCTTACTCCTACCACCACCCCTCATTGTTTCTATGGTTTACACCCAACCTACTGATACTCTATTGATAGTGGGTAATAACACTATACCATATCTAGAATGCTTGTGGGTCTTGCTTTTCTGGTTTTAGTGATCTAAAATGTCAGGTTTTCTGTTTTGTTTTTTGTGTATGTTAAAAAATTGAATGTTTTGGCCTATACCGTTTTCCTTTTTGGAGGATTTTCTTGTTTCTGCTAGGTACATCTTAATACCATGCAAGGGGTAATGTTTTGACATGCAAAACTAGCCTGCTGTCTTTATAAGAACTGACTTATTAATTCCAAACTCAGTCTTCTTCAAGGACCTCATTCAAGCAGATTTGAAGACCAACATCTGTCCCTCTTAGTTCTGCAAATTGTTGTTTAGTCTCTGTCAGTTGCCATGGGAAATGGTCCCAAATACGAAACTTCTATCTCTGGATTTCCATAATCTCTTAAATTCTGGCTTGGTGACATACTGTGTTGGGTCATTGGATTCTTTTTTCTTTTTTTTTTTTTTTTAGATTTATTTATGCATACAGAACTGGGGTACAGGCCAGAGGTGCAGAGGCAGTGAGAGGATTCACCAGAGACAGAGTGGGAAGCAGACAGATGATCAACAAAGTACACTGCTGAGGGGGACAGCAGGCAGGTCAGGAGAGGTCTGCTGTGTCATGTGGATCACCTCCGAGGCGGGGTTCAAACTCATGCTGAAGTAGCTTTAGCTTCTTAGTGCTGTTCTTTAACCTGCTACGCCACCAGGGAGGGCCAGGTCTATGGATTCTTAAAGCAGGTTGTTCATGCCTTGCCTTTTCTAGTTTTATTTTTAATATTCCACTTCTGGTAATAGTGAACTGGGGAATTTAAGAGCAAACAGAATTACGTATTGGTCCTTGGGACTCTAAAACCAGGCATTTTGTAGGTATCTTCACCTTTATCTTGCAAATAGCTACACACTAACAAGCCTACTTTTGTGCCTCCAAAATAGTCTCTTAGTATTTAATTTACCTAGAAACATGAGATTTTCTTGGAGAACTATCATTATATCTTAAAAGGAGCCCAGCGGCATTTTGGTTTTATGCTATTCAGCTTGAGTGAAAACTGGAGCTGAAGAGATTGGATGAAAACTCAAGGTCAAATGGCAACCAATGACTAACTTGATAGCATTGCATCTGTTTAATCACAGCACACTATCTTAAGTGTTTAAACAAGTTAGATCCATCATCTGTTTTTCAGAAGATTAAACATAGATCAGCATTTAGGCCTGAGTCCTGCTGAAGGAAATAACATATTTTAAAATTATTTCATGCTACTTATAGCACTACACTAACAAACACTACAGAAGTCAGGCACCGATGGAGCAAGTTTTGTATATGGCGTAAGGTACAAGTTTTTCCTTGTTCAGCCAACCTAACAATTTTGTGAAAACATTTATCCTTGTAAAAAACAAAATGTGTTGCCCTCTTTCTGAATGAGTCCATTGCTTTAGTGCCCTTACACCAACAACACATTGTCTTGAAAAACTGTAGCTTTTCAGTAAGCCTGGAATTACTGTGAGCTGTACACCTTGTTTGGTGACATTTTTAATACTTAAAACTCTGGGATTGTAGACACACTAGCTATCATTGGCAAATGAGGATGGGTAGTTGACCCTTGAACAATGCAGGGTATTGGTGCTGGCTTAACATACTACTTCCAGGGTCGATAATTGTTAAAATGCAAGATTTCAGCCTTTTTCCATGTTTATTGAGTAAAGTAAGTTTACGTGGTTTTATGTGCTTTGGGGACTATAGTCTTATTAAAACTTTACTTTTAAATATAAATCGTTGATCATTATATAGTGCCCATCTCCGCTCGTTACCTTTTTTATCAGCAAGTTTATTATATCTGATGCCTGATTCTTGCCATTTTTTCAAAATGGGCTCCATATACTTGTAATTTGCTTTTCATCCTTCTGAGTCTCCACTATCTTCAGAGTTCAGATGAGTAACCTGGAGAGAATAACATGTCAGGTTTTGCTTTTTTGAACTAACTGGCCATTCTGCCTTATGATTGGTGAAGGTAGTGCATTTGATTGTTGATTTGTTATTGTCCTTAAAGTTTTGGTGTTCAGTTTTCAGTGATGTTTCCTCTCTGATTTAGGAAAGAGAGATTTGGTTTTGGCAAACTCCCTGTTTACTTCTCCCTCACATCTGAGTAAGAGTCTTACACACTACATACTCTTGCCTGATAGAAGACATACTTTAAATACTTAGTCCCATCTCTCCTTGCCTTCAGGGTTTCCACAAGGAAATGTGATGCTAACTCTTAAAGGAAAATCCATTAAAGGTAACACCTGGAAAAACCCTTATGTGTTTGCTTTTGCCTCGCCACCTTCATTGTTCTTTGTCTTGCCTTCTTGGGCAGTTTTCAACTGTGTGTCTTGGTGTAGATCTCGCTGCATTTTGATACGGCAGTGTTCTTTTCACTTCATGAACATATGTATTTATTTCCCTCGCCAGATTTGGGAAGCTTTCCTCTATTTCTTTGAACAGATTATCTCCCCCCAATACCATTATTCATATGTTGCTTTTCCTGATGGAGTCGGATATGTATTTAAGTGTTTCTTCATATTTCTCTTCCACTTGAGTCCTTTGTGTAGTATGCTCTTTGAGGTTATTAATGCAGTCCTCCACTTATTGGATCTAGTCTGCTTCCATAGCTTCCCACAGAATTTTTATCTTTGATATTTTTGCTTTCTATAAACTCCCTTATTGTCGAAATCTTCAATTTCTAATTTATGATCCTTAATTCTATTTGTCAAATCTTTTTTTTTTTTCCCCTGCATTTGGTTATCATGGCAATTTTGAACTCTCTAGCAGGAAGGTAAGACCTCTCATTTCTTTGTAGTTGGGTTCTAGGGTTCTAGAGAGTTGAAGTCCCATTGCTTTGTGGTGTTTCTTTTGTTTTTGGCCTGCCCATTTTTCTGTTAGTAGATCACCCTCCACCTTCCATCATCGCTCCCACCACCCCCAAAATTCTATACTTCCCAGCCGTAGTTTACTGAAAGTCTCAGGGGAAACCCAAGAAAGCAAGTTTTGGAATTGGCAGGTAACACTCCTGTCATCCCACTTTCACTAACAAAAACTGCACATGATTCTTATTTATGAGTATATATGTGTGTGTGTGTGTGTGTTTGTGTGTGTATACAATATATATACACACACACTTTATATGTGTATGTATAAAACCCCTGAAAGTATTGGGAACTAGAATTTAGAGATTTGCACTCCTGTATTCATAACAGCATTATTTGTAGTGGCTGAATGGATAAACAAGATGTGGTATATATACACAATGAATAATTATTCTTTAAAAGGAAGGAAATCAATTAACCTTGAATGTTGTATGTAACGTGAAACAGGCTACACACAAAGGGCTAAAGTATTACAGTAGTCCATTTACAGGAAGTACTTAGAATAGTCAATTTCAAAATCACAAAATAGAACAGTGGTTGTTAGGGATGTAGAGGGAATACAAAGTCAAAGTGTATGCGTTTACAGAGTTTGGGAAGATGAAACTGGGATGGATGCTTACCCACTAATTATATTTGTATTACATATATTCTGTAAGAAAATTACTGAAACTGAACTCAGAATAATAAAATGAACACACACTCAGAGCAGGGTTTTTTGACCTGTGTCAGCCCAGATAGGCAAGCTGACTGCATCTGCATAAATTTGAAAACATTCAAACATCAAGCATGTTCTTTTCAAACACACATATACACCAGAATGGTTGTGCCAGGAGCAGGGCGGTGGCAGTTACCTGCCTCTGGAGACAAGGAGCAGGACACAAAATTGTAGGCACGCAGGTGGCTTTTGTGGTACTGGTGAACTTAAGTTTCGAAAATTAAGTTGTTATCCTTTCTATATATGAAAATACAAAACACCCTCTCACCCCACATGAAAAAAGGGACCCTCCATATTTTACAGAATAAGGACAATCTAAAAATAAAGTGATTCTTTCCTTTGAAGGTTTTTTCCTCTCAAAATGATGCCTAATCTACTTTCCCCCTCCAAAATGAAATGGCTGCAAATATTTTATTCTACTGGTTTTAAGACAAAGGACCTGAACACCCAATGCTATATCAGAAAAATACCATAAATGTTGATGCGGGTTGATTTAAAGTGCTTAAAATATGATTGCTGTTTACACCAAGTTAGGAACAATTTATTAACTTACCATTAAAATTTGTTGTTGGGACTCATGGCTTGGAAAGAACACACACAGGTATGTATAGTATTTAATCGAAATATATTTGTCTAATATCTACAAAGTGTGAACAATTAGTCTTAAGAAAGCAGGCAAAAGGCACAAAATCAGTATTAACTACAGAGAAGCATTCATGCTACTAGATTTTATAAATATTTTCATTGAAGTGGCACAGTAAAAAATAAATTGAGCATAGAGCAAAAAATCAGATCTTTTTTCTCCTTGCTTTATATTCTAGTCATGTCTTGACCACATTTGTAAAGTTTGAGGATTGAAATTCAACTGAAACCATGGAATACTTATGCAGGCTTTCTGTATGTTTTAATCACAGTGGTTTTCTTGCAGAGTTGGGTCAAACAGGTACACTAAAAAAAATCCACAGGAAACATTTTCCCCAAACTAAATAAAAGATTGAGGCTGTAGTTATGCATACTTGTATATGCATGCGTGTATGTAACTTCTAAAGCCCTTTTTTCATCATAAAAGTAGTGACGTCTTCATGTAATTTGTTCTCTACTGTAAAAGCAGCAGCTTCTGAAAAATGTATGAATAGTGCTTTGAGCATTAGAAATAACAAGGTTGGAGGCATGTATTTTGGAAAAAATGCCAGGGTGGGTCAGACTCAAGATTCTTTCAGAGGTATTCCAGCCTGGAAGGCTCTGACATAAACCTCTGAAGGCTTCATGTCCATGCTCAATCCAAGAGGAAAGAGCAATTATCTTTCTTGGGTGTAGATAGACAAAATATTAAAGTGGGGAGGGAATCACAAAAGTTTTGAAAAGACAACTGCCTACCAGAAAGGAGCTCATCCACTGGGCCACGCCAGCACATCTTCATTTTCTCCAGACTCGACTGAAGGAGAATACCTTTGGGAGCGTAAACCATTTTTGGCAATGTGAAGAATAGAAAATCTCAAACTTTTTATTGGTAAAAAGGAACTCGTGATTACCCACTTGACCCTTGCTGAGTACAGTATTTACATGTGTAGCAATCAATACCCAGCAGATGTGTGGTCTGTGCATGTGTACAGTGTGTTGAGCGCTTACACACTTGTGTACACATACACACCCCAAATGGCTCTTGAATAAGTACAATCCTAACAGTTAGGGGTGCATTTTTCACAGTATATAATTTCTCAGGTATCATTTCTTGGGTAACGATATGTTTCAACAAAATATCAGCAGAACCTTATTACTGTACCACTTTAATTCCTACAAAAGCAGGGCTATTTCTGAAAGTTCTGCATCTCCAACCCATCAGTGTGCCTTCCAAAGGGGGTTGAGGTAAACCCAGCCATCACCCTGTAAGAGAAGGAAGGAGACATTGCATTACCGGGGGTGGGGGGTGGGGGGTGAGAATCGAGGATAAGCACCAGCGTCTGCTTCCTGCCAACCATGCCAAGCTGGGGTCTCACTGTTAACCTATTCAGCCCAACTGCTTTTTAGAATGCAAGTGATCTTCACATTTTGGCATTTCAGGAGGAAATCTCAACAAAAGGACCAAAGCAACTAAAAAGGGAAGTTTGTTGGTTTACATCAGAGACCATTATTTGGCATAAACACTCCCTGAAAGGGAAGGGTTGGCATAGCTGGATAAATGGGACAGTGGAAAGAAAAGCAAGGGTCTGTCCTACCACAGGCTGTAACAGGTGCTGCTCACAATGACTGACCCCAATAAAGTATTACTAAGGAAAGCAAGAATCAAAATGGTGTCCAGTCTTATGTTAGACTAGAATATAATGAATTGGAACAATCTGGCTTTTTTTAAACCTGAGGGGAAGAAATGTGTGCTTTTGCATATTTGTTTGTTTTTAAATGTGTAACTTTCCATAGAAGCCAGGAAAACTAGTTGTCTCAGACCAGATCTGCCACACAGAAGGACCCTTGAAGCATTCTATGATGTTCATTTTATGTGTCAACTGGAATGGCCACAGGATGCCCAGATTAACCATTTCTGTGTGCAGAAGTGTTTCTGGATATTTAACTAATACTAGTACTCAGTGGGGTACCCAGCAGTGTGAGCGAGCATCCTCTGGAATGTTGAGGACATGAAAAGAAGACACGTTAGAAGGAAGAATTCGCCCACGTTCCTGCCTCACTGTGTTGGTCTGTCTCATCTTGGCCTGCCCTGGAGCCGCGATCAACACCATCTACTCCACAGGGTTTCAGGCTTCTGCACTCAGACTGAATCACACCACTGGCCTTTCTGGGTCTCCAGCTTGCAAACAGCTGATGATGGGGCTTCTCATCCTCTGTATCTTTGAATCAACACATAATAAATGCATTTTCTCTTGGGCCTGTTTGTGTTGTTTCTCTGGAGAGTCCTGATAGATTTCACTTCACCTGGGTAAGACTTCCAGATGGGAACTAATTCAGAGGCTCATACCAGGTAGTGTCCTGCTTGAGCCAGAATCTAATCTAGAGTTCCCTCTCAGTGCATTAACTCCTAACTCACCCTGCAGCCTCCCAGCTACATGCAGTAATCCTTGCCTTGTGAAAGGCTCAACAGCTGGGCATAAGAAAGGCCAGACATATTTCAGCTGGTTCTCAGTTTTGGCACTTTAAATTCCTGGCACCAAACATCAAATTTCTCATTATTCTGGCTGCTGCTTGTCTAGGGTCACCTGGCACCCATCTACAGGCGTGTCACCAGGCTCCTGAGGAACTGACTTAGAAGTGCTACACTTGCCTAATCTCCAGTTTTCTTCTCAGATACTTCCCAAATGCTTCATAAGCACCTTCAATGGCATAAGGGCCTCAGGTGGCCATACATGCCTTGGTTGCCAGCACACTAGAGGGGCAGTTGTGTGGACATTTTAGCCAGTCACTAGCCTTTCCTAGCGCATCCTTCATACTTGCCTACAGGATCAAAGTTCCAAAAGGGTTGTTCAGTGTTCCAGTTCATCCAGGGGTGCAAATGGAATGAGGTGTTTTATAACTAATTGGCTGCTAATGATAAAGCTCCAGGGTCTAAGTGGTTTTCCTTTTTTATACACAGGACAGTATCTACATGTGCAGTGCCACTGCTGGCCGAAAGGCTGGGCCTCAGTCAAATGGCCACACCTTTCCAGGCCCTCATCTACCTGTTCTCATTCACTCCGACTGCTGTGTTAACAGCAGCAAACAGAAGCCCCCCACCTCCCTCTAGGGACAAGGACCACAACAGATGGTGGTACCTCCTGGATAAAATATTTGGGCTGCCATGGCGTGCGGAGGGTCTCCCGCTTCCGTTCCTCTATGCGCTGCTTTTCTTCCAGGTGCCGCTTCTGCTCAGTGGCAGAGTCGATGTCCCCCACCTGCAGGTTTCGTGTCACCTCCCTCCAGAGGTTCCTGAGGATGATTGGAGAAGACAAAAGTCAGGCAAGGACAGCAAGCTCAAAGATGGCTTCTTTGGCCGAAGGGTCAAAACCATCAGGACGGTTGCAGGGGTAGCTCATTCTGCTGCCCCAAAGCCCCAGAAGCCAGGATTTGACCCAGGGCTACCAGGCTCCAAGTCTGAGCTTCTACTTCTCCACTTGCCCTGAGCAGCTTCAAGGCTCTGAGTGTCAAGGAGGTTGAATCTATAAATACTACAAACAGTGGAAGCTTATGTGGCATTTACTCTGTTTCTAGGCACTTTACATATGTTTCAACTCAGTGATTAAGTCAAATGTCATCTCCCTTTTTTTCCCCCGTTTTGATCATCTCCATTTTTAAAAGAAACATGGTCTGCGTAAGGAAGAGGAAGTTACTTGGCCTGATGTCAGCAAGCTGTTAAATACAGGATTGATTCCCACTGTCCTAGCATTACAGCCGGCTGCGTGGGTTTATGCTGTGGGAACTTATGCTCTGTGTCACAACATGACTGCTGCTTCCGGTTTGGCTGTTGAGCTTAAGTGTCCCTGCCATCCAGCTGTGTTTAAGACATAACCACACATGTCAGGGAAAAGATAAGCATTCCTGTCTTACATAGACCAGGCTCCTCCCTGCACAAGGGTGAGTTGTGAGTCCCCAAGGCTGAAACATCAAAGAGTCTTAATATTAAAGAGTAGTTAACTTCATTCAGCTACATTAGAGTACTGCAAGGTGATCAGTTTAGTTCTCTGAAACCAGCAGCAGCAGTCATGCAGTGATAGGAACCCACAGGTTTCCGAGTCTGGAGTCTGGAAAGGCTTCCTCGGAAGCCTTCAGGCTGTCCAGACTGCCACTTGTTCGTACTGCCCGTAGACCAGCTGGAAAGAGCTATTGGAAGAGTGTGTACGCCCTCCATTTGGACACAGAGAAGGTCACACTCTTTCCAAATAAACACGAATGAGTGCACTGATTCTATAAGCAAAGGTTCCAGGGATAGTGACACCCTATTTATATTAAGCTCAGTTATAATACATTATTTATAGACACTGCTGTATCCCTGCTCATTTCCCCCCCACATAAGCATTTCTGCATTTGATCATAAATGCTCATTGTGATGGCAAACCCTTTTCACAGAATCATCTGTAATTTCATTTTTATCCCACGTATTTGTAAAGAGCAGCATAGTTGTAGATAAAAACGGGTCAGCAAACATTTTCTGTAAAGGGCCAGACAGGAAGCATTTTATGCTTTGTAGGCCATATGGGCTCCGTCATAACTACTTAATGGCCCCTGTAGCAGGAAGGGAGCCATAAACACTATTAAACGAATGATCGTGGCCGTGTTCCCATAAAACCTTACAAATACGAGCCACGGCTGGATCTGTCCCAGAGGCCACCGTTTACTGACCTCCTGGACTGCAAACTAAGAAAGGCATATCGCAAGAAGACACTGCTTATGTATCTGCATAAATGTCACCTTAAGTGGCTCCATTATATTCATGTCATAGGATGGACATGCCCATGGGGTAGATGCTCTCAATGACTTCTGGACAGATGACTACTTTTTCTTTTGTGTGTCTTGTTATTTAGGGCTTTTTTTTTTTTTTTTTAAAGAAAGCTTAATGCTTAAAACATTTTTGAGTATAAGAATTTTCCCATAGCATGATTCACAGAAGTGGAATACAAGATTAAAGTGAATTCATGAGCTACTGCGCCATTATTCCTGCAAGGACAGGGTATGAGTGCCAACCGGTGCCATGGCCTTACCAGCATTAATTCCCCTAAATTATGTTGCTCAGCGGCTGGGGGGCTGAAGGGGGAGGCCTCATCCTTCATGCTTCTTTAATTACCAGTGTGTACTAGCATCAACTTTGCAATTAACAGGCCAGCTGAACTGACCCTTTTAGGGACAGGCTTAGGTGGGTTAGCTATCTTCACACTCCATCCCTTAAGAGTAACTGATCTGTTAGCTCTAGATCAGGACCCAGACCTAGTGATACAGTAAAAAATTATAGACTATCTGAAAGGTTATCATCTGGACCCATTTCCACCCGACTAAGCTATCAAAGTCCTGCTCCCTGCCCCTCGGTCCAAAGTTGAGGAGAACTAAGCAGGAGAGAAACAAACTGCTGGTTCCCACCTGGACTCCATGGGCCCCTGCTTCTCCAGAGGTCTTATCTTCTTCGGGTACACGGGCAGTGTGGTCGTGTCGATGACCTTTGTCTCACCGTTGTTGTAGGTAAACTCTAAGGTCCCGTTCCATTCCCCGTGAGCCTTGCAAACAATGGTGTTGGTTGGGTTGTGCTTCACTTCTGCTGTGACCCTGAGTGAATGAGATGATCAAAGTGGGGGGGCCGACTTTAAATGTTTTTTGACATTTTGTTCAGACTCTTTAAAATGTAATCTTAATAACCTGAACAACAACAAAAAGGCATCAGTAGTAAAATTGGAGCCATCTCAAGAGAGATGACAGCAATACAGCAGTGTTAATTCCATGGTTTTGATCAATAAGCACTATGTTGTTGAGGTGAAAAGTCAAGCAGGCCCCCACTTTCCTCAGGCAACACAATGTCATCCTTCTGTGGGTACCACATTTAAAGTGGACCACATGACAAGGCCAAGATGGGAGCTTGAGCAGCCAGCAATCCCCTCTGTGGAAGTTGCTATAAGCGGAGTGACAAAGACAACCCTGTGTTCCCTCCCAGCAGGCTTCTCAGACCTGGCTCCCCGGCCCCAACAGGAAGGAAGTGGCCAGATCGCACTGTTGAGGTGGCAGCTGGATTTGGTACTAACTTCCCAGGAGGTGGGAGCTCATAGGCAGAGTCAGAGCTTATAGATCAAAGTGCTTCAGAAACAGGCTGTGGCCTCCAAAGGGAGGATTTATTGTGACAAAACCCCTTTGCCTCTTGTGTGTGTCCTGCGATGCATCAGCCAAGGACTTCAGTGTAAATTTAGGTGAGTGGGGAAGGGGAGTTAAAACAAGAAAGTGCCCCATGAGGGGATGAAGAGGCTCCCCTTAGCCAGCGAAGAGGCTCCCCTTAGCCAGCGCAGGACTCAGTACTCAGACCCCAGGAGGGATGCAGGATGGGTCTCCAGGAGAGTATGGGAGCAGGCACTGAGCCTCCACAGAACCATTGCCAACAGGCTGCTACCCTCTGCTATACAAAATAGGCAAGCAAAGCCTGAGAAAAGGGAAGACTCAGACCCCAAACGGTAGAAATGGGGTGTCATCCTAAGGGGTTCTCTGAGTGTCCCAGTCCTGCCTTCCCGCATCCCAGCCCAGAGAGGCCACAGTCCTCTTGGCCACACGGGGGTCTATTCCAGTCACAGCTTCCAGAGAAACAAAAAAATTACATCATTGAATTCAAAAATAAAAAGTGACATCTCCTCTTCTGATAAAAGACGCAGTAACAGCTTTGTCGTGCCTTTCAACTCAGATGGCTACAACCTAACTGTGGAGAAAAGAGACTCCAGGCACTGGTGCCTCCTACCTGTGGACTTTGCCTCCGTAGAAAGGCTTCGTGTGGAAGATCACTGTGGCCGAGTAGCCAGTCTTGGCGCAGCTGATGCTGACCTTGCCCCCGAGCTCCACCCAGGGGATGGTGAGGATGGACCGGGCGTAAGCACTCGGCAGGGTGAACACGTAATCCTCCCCGTGCTCCAAGAGCCTCAGCACACCTCGGGGGACGGGAGAGTCAGGCACCTGCTCTGCAAGATTTGTTCCCCACCAAGCACCTCCACGCTGGGGCTCACCTCGGAGAGGCTGCTGCCACCATCCTGTGCTGTCCTACCCCCTCCCCAGGCATCCGAGGTCCCCTCTCTGTTTTACTTTCCTCCATAGAGCACCTTCTAAGACAGCACATAATCTGACCCCCCCAACAGAGCAGAAGCTTCAAGACAAACTTGTTTTGCCTATTCTGTCCACACAACTAGCCACAGATCCCAAGACATTGCCTGGCACCTATGGGTGCTCAAGCAAAGTGTGCAAGTGGCCCAAAGGTGTTTTTATGTGATGGAATTTGGGAAGGGCTTCCAAAGAGCCACATACTCCCTGAGACTGGAAGTCCACTATTAGGGTGGAATTTTATGCGGGAGCAGAAAAAGTTTTCAGCCTTAGAGTCTCAAAGGAATTTGTGACACAAAACAAGTCCATGAAACACTAACACAGATGCTTGAATTTAACAAAGGTTATTACAGGTTTCTCCAAACAATGAATAACTCCATTCACAGCTATTGGCGAAGAGGGGGATGTGTAATCCGTGAATGGTGTGATTAAACTGTGCTTTTGCTTCATCCTCTAGCACAGAGTCCAGAGATTTGCCTTGGGAATTTTTATGTGCAGATTTTGAACAGCACCATTATCCTCATTCTCTGTGAGCCAGAACACTGAGGAGAATGAATAAAAATGTTTTCACAGACCTGGAGCCAACTCTTAAATTCACACAAAGCTGGAAAAAAACAACACAAGTCTATGTGTGTCGGCTCCCACATACGCACAGCCGCAGAGGTCCAGGTGGGCAGTAGGTTGGGACAATGGCTGCAACCCATCTAGTCCCTAACCTCGGCTCCAAGGAATCTACAGGCGGGCCCCTGTTCCAAAAGAAGAAACAATCCCGGGACCCACATGCCTGTCTACGAGGCGCTAATTCCAAAGTTAAGGACCCCACACACAGCACTACCCACAGTCTCCCAGCCCCCCAGGGCTACGAGGCTTACCTTCTCCTATCATAGACACCCCCACAGACATGCCCATGAACTTGCTTTTGGTCCATACGTGAGTGTTGACACACAGTCTCTTCTCTTTGCACTCACAGTAGAAGCAGGAAATGGGTGGGTGGTGGGACACTTGCTCAGCCACAAACCTTACTTTGTAGCTTTTGGAAAGGTCATCGGCCATCGGGTGTTCCTGGCCTGTGGGAGTGTGGGGAGCAGTCCTCTTCGGCTTGACTCTGTCCTTGGGAACTTCCCAAGAGCAGTGAAATGTCTCCCCGATGATGGGGTTGTAGGGTTTCTTGGCCAGCGCCCCCTTACGGCCCTCGTGGAAGGCTGTGAGATAATACTCCACAAAGCAAATGACCCTCTCCTCTGGCGTGGCGCCCGCAGTGACAGCCAGCAGCAGGTCGGGGTGTGCCATGAAGTCTGCATACATCTCCAGCAAAGACCGCTTTTCCAGGATAAACGTGGGGAGCACCACCTGCATTTGGGAGAAGATCCAGTCTGACAGATCTGGAGTGAAGCCTCCACTTCACTCATTAAGACCCTTCCTAATGGGCCCTCCCTGGTGACGCAGCGGGTTAAAGCACAGCACTAAGAAGCTGAAGCCACTTCAGCACGTGTTCGATCCCTGCCTGCCCTGGAGGGAACCACATGGTGCGGCAGACCTCTCTTGACCCGCCCACTGCTCCCCTCAGCAGTGTACTTAGTTGATCTGCCTGTTCTGCTACCCTCTCTATCTCTGGTGAATCCTCTCAGCCTCCACATCTCTGGCCTGTACCCCAGTTCTGTATGAATAAATAAAAACAAAAAGGCCCTTCCTAATGAAGGATGTGGCTACTGAGGGGCAGACCCACCCCCCAAAAGGGCCCAACAGACATTTCTCAATAGGCCCTGAGCAGCCACTGATCAGTGTGGTATGGGGACCAGAGGTGAGTTGGAGTACTGGGAGCCTCAGGAGGGCCACTGCCTTCACATGAAGAACGCACACTGGTCTGAGGGCAGCAAGGGGCCTGGAGGTGGGAGAAGCTTCTCTTCTTGCCCCAGTCATTAGCCCCTCTCTCATGGAAGAGATCAATATGCCCCAAGTGTCCACCTTTAACCTAATTGAAAGAGAAATCACTGCTCCCCCTTTTATGACCTAGACTATAGTTGGGGTCTCATCTAGTTCTACATTGATCAGTAAACAAATGCTTTTGCTCTTTAAGAGTCCACTCTCAGGAAGGATGAGCTCACACACCTGACCCCATGTGTCACCGAAGTCTCACCCCTCTGTCCTTGATGCCTCATGCCGATTTCTGTTCTATTATTTTGTGAAAATGTGCCGCCACATGAATTCTCCATCCAATGTTATTAAATTCCCTGTCTTTCCTTGGCTGTCTCCACAGATGCTGTTGTGGTTACTGGTACAGCCTGAGACGAACCCATGGGATACAAGATTTTTTGTGCCCAGATAATACACAGGCATATATATATATGTCTTGAGAGAAGAGATGGACATGAGGTGAACAGAGAGATTTCAGAGGAAGCCCAGGCCTCTGAAGAGATGACACTGGTATCTTTTTAATAATGCTTTTCTATCTTTCATTTTCTTAAAAAGGTTTATTTGTGTATGTAGAACTGGGGTACAGGCCAGAGATGCAGGGGCGCTGAGAGGCTTCACCAGAGACAGAGTGGGGAGCAGAATAGGCTGACTGATGAAGTACACTGCTGAGGGGAGCAGGCCAGGAGAGGTCTGCCGTGCCATGTGGGTCACCTCCGGGGTGGGTGGGGATCGAACTCATGCTGAAGTGGCTTTAGCTTCTTAATGCTGTGCTTTAACCCACTGCACCACCAGGCAGGGCCCTCTATCTTTCATTTTAAAATTATGTCAGAGGAAATATACCCGTGTAAGTATAGTCACTAAATATAAATTTGAAAATGTAACACAATCCAGACATCATAAAAAGACCTCAAATGTTAACGTGTCTCCGGGCAAAAGAACTGAGTAATTTTTTTTTTTACATTCTTTTCTGAATATCTTTCATTTCACTTTTATAACCCAGTGGGAAAAGAAATGTTATCTCAAGCACAACTATAGAAAGTAATGCCTATCTTCTCATTTTTCAGCCTGACACAGAAGAGCCTTCAGATGCCACTGCAGAGACTTCCACCTCTCTTTGTGGGTTTAGGCACGTTGGTAGCCATCACAGTGCTCTTCTAAGGAGGCTCCCATGGGCCAGGCAGCACCTTCTCCCCACACCCGTGGCCATCACAGACTGAGGAAAGACGGGCAGAATCTCTCACCACCTCCCGGCCACTCAGAGTTGCCCCAGGACACCCACCCAGTGAGGCCAAGTCAGTGAAAAAGGAAAGGAAGCCACACGGGTTTGCCATGGGATCGAGACCCTACAGCCCCTTTCCAACTCTCCCTTCCAGAGCCCAGGGCGTCTTCTGCAGAAGGCCTGCCCAGGAGAGGGGGGGCAGTGTCTCCCTGAGGGTGGTCAGCCTGACAGACGACTCCAGAGGAAAGGGCCGTGGCTGGGAGCACAATCCTGTTCTCCCTCTGCAATGAGGGGCTTCTGTGGCGCAAACTGCACCTCTGGGCAGTAAGAATTCACTGTGTACTCCAGCAAGGAACACTTGCTTCAGCTACACACTTTACCCTCTCATTATGTACTATCGAAAAAAGCAGGAATTTAAGGCATTTCCTTTACTTAAGCCAACATTTCTGAACTCGGAAACTGACAGATTAAAACTAGGAAAAAGAAAAGCACTCGGAGTCCAAGTCACTGATCATGCGAATCAACAGGCCCAGCAGGAAGCCGCTGTGTGGGTCCTGACTGACAGATGTGCCCAGAGGGGGGCAGGTGCCTTCCAGTGGAGGGGCGGGCTGGACCCTGAGGCCCCCGACTCCACCCACCTGTTCTTGCCAGACCCTTCATAGCACGATCCTCTGGTTCTGGTTAATGAGAATGTTATCTCCCTCATCCTGCTTAGGAGGGAGGTGAGAGTTCACACAGCATCAGCCCTGGGACAGCAGGCCACCCCATCACTGATATTAATAAGAAGAGGGAGCAGGAAGTAGCACAGGTGAAAAGTGAGACACGAGCCCCACCTTCCAGTCCTTTCCCCCCTTCCTGGGATGCCAAGGCACCTCCCTAATCCAAACGATTATGTCTATTCCTAGCGGAAGGAGGAGACACTGGCACTGCTGGCAACATAAAAGATGGGCATGGTGCCCCCGCTCTGGAGAGAGCAGCTGCAGCTTCCCGGCTGGTCTGCCGGCCTTCTGCCAGCCCACTTCATTTCTTCACCACACAGAAACCACTGAAAACCTCTGTAAGAGAGAAAAGAAGTCTGCCTCCCTCTCGTCTCCCATCACTGCTGCCTCTGCCCCCATCCTTCTCAGTCTCCCTCAACGCGCGCGCTTGCACACATAAAGGTCACCTCTGTGAAAACTTCTGTCAGCACCTGCTCCCAAGGCTAAACCAAAGACTCCTCCTTCACACCCCTACTGCATCCCCATCTTGTCACACGCTCCTCATCTTCCTCATGCTATAACAGGCGTGACTGGGACAATTCCAGAAAATGTTAGTCGCCACTGGTGAAACAGTGTCATGTGGATGTTGAATTTCCCAATCTTGACAAATGTATTGTGCAAGAGAATTTTTCACTGATGGTTTTGGAGGAGAATGTCACAATTGCTAAAGCTCTTAAGTGGCTCATTATAAAATAAATTGAGCATGCGTGAGTGGGGGTGGGGGGGGGCGGAGGAGGCAGCAGAGAAGGGGAGAGAGTGGGGGAGAGAAGGAAGAAGGCAGTGCAGCAGAGAAGGGGAGAGAGTGGGGGAGAGAAGGAAGAAGGCAGTGCAAAGTGGCATTTACCACAGGCCGATACTGGGAAGTCAGATGGGCATTCACTGAACCACCCTTGCACTTCTACTGTAGATTGAGACATGTCAGAGGAGAAGGGGAACACATCTCCCCGGGGATTGCAACCCCTTCCCCGCAACTGCCAGGCTGCCAGCAGCAAGTCCAGCCTTGGGTATCTGACCTGCTCTTGCAAATGTTGCCGTGGCTTTGTCAGAAAAAAGTAAAGCGCCTGGGGAGAGAACGGAGAATGAGCTGGGAGTGGAGTGACTGGACCCCCTTTTGTCTCCTGGAGGGTGTATGCAGAATTCCAGAACAGCACCTTTCCAAAGCAGCTGCCTGGGCAATGGGCACATGCCATACTTTTTTTCACTGAAGCAGATTTCTGGTCTGAGTTCCATCTCTTATACTATCTCCCTGGCTTGCTTTTTTTCTCTTGGGACCTTTGCAAATAAGACACTTAATCTTGTCTCACAGGTGGTGGATGCTAAAGATGCAGAGCCAAGAAGGCCTGAGCGCTAACTGGACTGTCTGCCTCGACAGAGAGGTGAGTGATGGCCCCACATTCAGACCGATGGCATCCACGTGGCTACAATCACTACAGGAGATTTATGGGGCCATCAATAAAGGCTGCCTTTTCTCCCATTAACGTAATGAAGACAATGAACTATTTTGGTGAAAGGAAGAAAGAGAAGATCTGCACGCAGGACTCAGTAATCACATTTAAAGTTGCATCAATGGAGATGTAAATAAGTAAACCAAGTTGGGCTTTTAAACTCCCAAGTGAATGATCTCCCCTGCAGAAAGGCACCAGACCCCCACACAGAATGAATGTCCCTTACCCCCAAAAGTAACCATAGCAAGCCTCTGCAAAGAAAGGTGAAAGCAGTTTTCTACAGAGAAACATCAATTAACTTAACCCTGAGGACTGTCTACATGATACTCTGCCCTTAGACCGGCTCACCCAGCAGTGCAAACTAGCGAGAGAAGAAAGGCCACATGCTAAGCCAGATCTGTAATCCTGCACAGAAACCAGGCGAAGGACATAAATCCAACCTGAAGAAATAAGAGGTAGGTACTTCACACTACCCAAGCTCTCTTAGCTACTAGGATGGTCCCTTTACACCCATCTCAAGGTTGCAGAACTGAAGGGAGAAGTTGCCATCTCAAAGTATGGCCATCCCCAAGGAGCACCTTGCACTGATGCTTTTTTAAAAAAGACTTGTTTATGCATACAGAACTGGGGTACATGCCAGAGGTGCAAGGGCGGTGAGAGGAGTCACCAGAGACAGAGTGGGGAGCAGAATAGGCTGAGCGACTAAGTACACTGCTGAGAGAAGTAGAGTGCAAGACAAGAGAGGTCTTCCGCGCCATGTGGGTCACCTCCGGGGCCAGGGATCGAACTTGCACTGAAGCAGCTGCGGCTAGCCTGCAGTGTTGCGTCCTCACCTGTTGCGCCACCAGGGAGGGCCCACACTGATATTTCTTAAGAAATGGCCAAGGAAAACCTCCTGAAAACTGAGAAGTTACCCCCTTGTGAGAAACATTCATATTTGCGGGGGAAATCTCATTTGTAAGGGTGTCCCCTCTCTGTACCAGGAAAAGATGACCAAAGCTCTAGAACCTCCTGTCAAGGGAGAAGACCCTGGCTTAGATCTGTACCGTAGGCATCTCCGATATTGTGTCCTTCCTGATAGCTTCTTTTAACCTCTTTTGTCCTTAGCTAGAGTTGGTTCTAGGATGGCAGCTCAATGCTGTGCCTTTGTCAGAGCTGGAAGAAGTTACTCTGTTCTTTTTTCCCCAAGAGGAGGTTACCTAAACAGGGGTAACTGTTGCCATGGAGCCATGTCCCCTCAGAGTTCCAGACTCCACCTTCCAGACTCCACCCTGCAGAAGAGTGAGCTTTGAGCTTCAGCTCTCTCGGGCAAGTTCATCTCTCTAAGACTCACTTTCTCCACCATAAAATGGGGGAAACAATCCCACCCTCCTAGATTTTTTTGGTGAGTTAAAAATGAGAGGATGAGCCCAGTGTCTAGAAGGCTACCTCTACAGAGGAAACCTCACTCACCCACCCACGCTTGTCTGATTGCCTGTGTGGCACCTGGGTGGCCCCTTCCAGTGCTACCTAGTCAGAGCTTGACAGCTTATTACAGACAAGATGTGGGGGGCATCATGTGCCTTATCGCAAACAGCCACCATGGGGACCTGGGGCAGAAGGGCCCACCTGGGGCTTGGCCCTGCTCAGCTCAGGGTGTCTCGGGCCAGCAGGTCACGGGCAGTGGCAGGTGCCCAGAGGCCGAGAACATTGATGGGGGGGGGGGAGACAGCTGGAGGGCTGGAATGAATTGGGGTGGCCAGGCCTGCCCACCAGGAGCATGGTGAAGGATGGGATAGACCTTCATGGGGCAGACCGAAGCAACCAAAAAGTGTTGTCAGGGGCAACTTTGTATCTTTAAATTCTTTCCATGCTCATTGCCAGGCCCTTCCCACAGAACAAGGAAGCAGGGACAGGTGGGACAGTTCAAGTTTAATCAGGCGCACAGGCTGTGGACGGCAGTGGACACCCCCAGATGGGAGCTGCAGTGCACATTCGTACCTGCTGGCAGCAGTGACTGGCCAGGCCCGCTGTGAACTTGAGGACTCCAGCATGCAGGCCCTCCCTCCTCCTCCTCCTCCCCGCAGGCCCTCCCTCCTCCTCCTCCCCGCCAGGTGAACACCAGACCCAGCGCTCCTTGTTTATAACTTGAGGTCTCCTGCATGCAGGCCCCTCCAGGTGAATACCAGGCCCAGGCTGCCTTGTTTATACCTCACTGTCTGCTCAGGGCACAGGACTTGCACCTGAATTTGCTTGAGAAAGGGAACCTCAGCCCACCATTGCCAAAGCAGTTGTGTGCCCTCGGAGAAGTACTAGCAGGGGGAAAAGCAGCCTCCAAGGAGGGCTTCCCTGTTAGCCTAGTGGGTTAAAGCTCAGTGCTGAGGCGCTACGGCTGCTAGGAGCTGAGTTCGATCCCCACCCAGGGAGCAAACCCACACAAGGTGCGGTGGGCCGCTCCTCTCGCCCACTGTGCTCCTCAGTGGTGTGATTCAGTAGTGCTCTGCTCTTCCCTCATGTGTCTGTCCTCCACTCTTCCCCCGCCCTTTGTTCCCGCCCTTTGTCTCCCCCCTCACCCTCACCTTCCCCCTTCCCCCCCCTTCCCCCATCCCCTACCCACTCTATATTGGATGGATTCTACCCCTACCCCCCATACATTCTATTGTCTTGTTCTACAACACCAAAGGTGAAGGGTGACTTCTATGCAAATGCAGCACCATATATGCCCAATGCAACCAGCCGGAGTGGAGGGGTAATTTTCACCCATACCTTCTGATTTTCTTGCATACCTTCTGATTTTCTTGCTAATGATGTCGAATGGAATGTCAGGATGTCGAATGGAATGTCAGGATGTCGAATGGAATGTCAGGATCTATTTTTGCATTATGTGATTGAACAATTTAAGCAATTCAAGCAATTCTATTTTTGCATTTATTTGATCAATTTAAGCAATTCTATTTTTGCATTTATTTGATCAATTTAAGCAATTCTATTTTTGCATTTATTTGATCAATTTAAGCAATTCTATTTTTGCATTGATTTGAACAATTTAAACAAATTCTGTGAGGAATCACAGACACTTAATTATCTCAGCAAGCTTTCTCTGAAAGTATGAATTCTGGCTGACACATCCTTGATTGACGGGCATCCTCAAGTCAGGAATCTCGTCAGGAATCTCGTTACCTGGGGACAGCCCAATCAACCCTGCCTCAAGTGTTTTAACCACAGTCTGCATCCCCAAGCTCTCAGCTACTCTGTGGCATCAATGTGTCTTTAGAGGGGCTCAGAGTCCACTGTTCTGAATCTAAATTCCCTAAAGAACACATGAAGGAATCCATATGTACCCACAGCTACCACCCTCCATACCTCAAGTGGAAGCACTCTACTTTCTACCCACCCCTCCTCTATATCCAGCTCACTCAGTTTCCTCCCCCCAGGCCACCCCCGCCCTCCATCCATCAAAAGACTTGTTTATGCATACAGAACTGGGGTACA